ACTTCAGAAGTACGCTGCCACCTCCTCTATTATTAAGATATATGATTTATACCCCACTTCAGAAGGACAATCACGTGGCTCCAAGACTAAACAAGCATCGACCAAAAAGAAAAAGACTAAACAAGCAGGAAAGAAAAAATAAAGAGAAGAAAAACATATGAACCTATTATTATTGTAATAATATGTTACCTCTTGACACAAATTGTTAAAAATTTATCCATTTTTTTCTCTTTTCTTGGCGCAAATATGTATCAAACTTTTTTACTGCTTGTGAGTTTTTTTCTCAAACTCCATATTACATGATCAAGTTTTAATTAGTTTAATTCATTTAATTAAAGTTTGTTAATCTTTCTCTTGTTTTCTCTCTATGTTTTTTTTAGTTTGTGAAATTTTGATTTCTTCTTTTTATTAATTTTATTGGGCTTTTAGAAATATTTGCTAAATCGCTATTCAACTCGTATTTGTCTATCCCTTATAAATTTTCTTGCTTAGTATGTAATTGTATGTCTCTTTGTTACAATTATAAACTTGTGTTTGTGAATTTTAATTTTATTTTATGATTTCAAAATATGAAAATTCGTATAGGACAATTATGATTGTAATGAATAGACAATATGATTTTTGATGTTTTTATATGTCTTGTGAGAATTTGAATTTTTATTGTTTATATTTTGAGGGTAAGGCTCATTACGTCACCCATGTCTAACCAAGTGTATCTGTTTATGTGTGTTAATGAAATTCACTCATACCGATAAATTTAACTTTTGAATCCTAAATCCACCACTTGGAACAACCAAACTTGATTTCAAGTTCAAATTAAAGGATGAAATGAAACAAAACCAACAAAAGCTCTTCTCTCAATCACATGATCCTTTGTAGCTGTTATAAAAATACATTCCTGCACTGCAGAGAAAAAGAGGAAGTTATGAGTAAAAAGCCAAACCCAACCCAAACCAAGTCGGCAAGTCACCACCTTCACACTACTCAACGCCAAACCTAAAACATGGAAACCCCACCCGTTGCATGCACATTCACCTTGGGCCCACCAACTCAAAGCCCTAGCCCACACGTGTCAAGACCGTTGTCTTCTTTTGCATGCACCTCACACCAGACCACACCACACCCCGCCACTTCATCAGTCTCTACCTTTTATACTCTCTCACCACCTCTCTCTTTTTTTCATTTCCTCCTTCTCTTCGCCCACAGATTCTTAATTTAGCTCTTGGGTTTTCTTCATGGCGGTGGTCCAATATCAGTCCAGGTTGATCCTGTTGCTGGTTCTGTTTGTGCTGCTGGTAGGAGGCGGCCGAGTCGCCCGGTTGGACCTGTGGGACTCTACAATCCGGTTGCCTTCAGATAAGGATAGACCGGAAGATGCTAATCACAAGGAAGCTGGAACAAGATGGGCGGTTCTTGTTGCCGGTTCATCTGGCTATGGAAATTACAGGCATCAGGTATGTATGTGATACTTAAGCAAGATTATTATTATAATTTGCCGGTTCATCTGGCTATGGAAATTACAGGCATCAGGTATGTATGTGATACTTAAGCAAGATTATTATTATAATTTTTAGCGTTGAGGTTTTACATATTAAATTATTTATATATATATGTAGGCCGATGTTTGCCACGCATACCAGCTGCTGAAAAAAGGTGGGTTGAAAGAGGAAAACATAGTGGTATTTATGTACGATGATATCGCCAAGCATGAAATAAATCCCAGGCCTGGGGTCATCATCAACCACCCACAAGGTCAAGATGTATATGCCGGTGTGCCGAAGGTAAAGTTTTTCATTTTATTATTATTATTATTATTATTTTGTGAATTAATTTATTTTTATTTGTATGATCAGTTGCACCATAGATATTATTATCTCTTCTCTTCTCCAGTAGTCTTGTAGTTTCGACCCAAAAAAAAAACATGAAGTGGTTAAAAGTGGGTAAGAGGTCGTAGGTTTGTCAAATCAAAGCTGCCAAGTGGATAGCTAGCTAATTGATTAGCAAGGACAAAGGCAAGAGCTTGTATTAAAAGCTAAATACAATGTTTAGAGGACAAAAGAGTTGGGCCCTACTTGACATTAGCCTTTCTTCTTCTTCTTTTAATATTTCTTAAAGCTTCCCAAAAAAACAAAAAAGATTCCAAATTCTAGCATCAAAGGATCAATTTTAGATTATTATACCGAACGAAAAAGAAAAAAAGAAAAAAAGAAAAAGCTTGTAGCATGGTCTTGAGTGGTGTGAACTTTCGCTGCTGAAAGCAGTGCTATTTGGCATCTTGCTTTTGAAAGCATCTTTATTTTTTATTTTTTTTGGGTCGAAACACACTTTCATTAACGAAAGGGAAAGGTTAGGGTAAGATGATGAGTGAGGGAAAAAAAGAAGGTAAAAATCCACATCATGATTGATGACATTGATATATGAACCATGTGTCTTGATTGTGTAACTTTTAAGCATTCATTTCCAGTTGTCAGAATGTTTGTTGGATGCTTGGATTGGATTGGGTCGTTTCATTTGGATCTGAAAATGCTCTTTATATCCGCATGAAACTCATAAACGATGTCGAAACTACAGGGAAGGGGGTTTCTCACATATACACTACACCGATGTTTTGGGGGTTTGGACATGAGACCACTAGTCTGCAACAAAACTTGGTGGTCTACTTTTAAATTTTCCTTTTCCCTTTCAGTTCTTTAATATACTTTTTTTAAGGCTTATTGGGTAAAGTTAGGATTAAGAGCAGCATGATCAATAGAGGTATGAGCATGGTTCATCTTAGGTTCAAAGTCTCATGGACACATATAATCACCGTAACAAAAAATAAACATTATTTTGGCCTTAAATAGAATTCTCAGATACACATAAGTGTCTTGGATATTTTTTTTTACTTATTGTATCTTCTTTTTTATTTTTTGAGAAATTGGACCAGTAGGCCCACATAAAGCCCAAGGCCATGGGGATCAATTTAGTACCTGAAAAGCCCACTTAAAGCCCAAGGCCTGGATCGGCCATTTCCATCCTCTGCCACTGTTAGACGTATATGCAGTGTGCAGTATGAACTAAAAGTGCTGATTCTAACTAATCCCAGTGAGAAAACAGAGCAATTATCCAAGTCAGTGTGAAATATACTTGAGAGTTATGCTTGCCCTTTTTACATTTTAACATAAGTTTGTTAAGCCTTAGTGCTAACCTTAGCAATTGGTGGCTACGTGTTACTGTGGTAATAGTTGTCACTTGGTTGTTAATTAAGCTTCAGCTTAATCGAAATCCCATAAGTTTTCGGGTTGATTATATTGGTTTTGGGTAATGTAGGATTACACTGGTAAGCAAGTAACCGCCGCGAATCTGTATGCAGTTCTTCTTGGGGACAAGAAGGCTGTGAAAGGTGGAAGTGGTAAGGTTGTGAATAGCAAACCTAATGACAGGATCTTCTTATACTACTCGGATCATGGGGGTCCTGGTGTTCTTGGTGAGTTCAGTCCCTCTTCTTTTACATTCATACTGTATCATTATTATTTTTTCTTTGTTACATAAGAATGGATTGAATGCTCGACTCATCCTTAAATCCTAATCCTAACCCACTTTCGGCTGTTGGCTAACCCAACTGCTTATATTATGTCATTATTTTCATTTTTGGACAGTATTATATCACTGCTTGTTTTTATAAATGTTGTATCACTATTTGATTCATACCTCCTTTAAAGAGTATTTTTCTTTCTTGGTTTGCAAGAGGAATTAAGTTAGGTTCTATCCGTAACATGCTTACTCGTGTGCATTTCAAGTTGGAATCAATCTGAGCAGAGATGATGACAACTGTACCAACCTTACTGCTCATTTTGGATGTGTAGAAAGAAATGTTATAAAAATGAGAGTGAGGACTCACCAATTTTCAATATGATTGTAGGGATGCCAAATATGCCTTTTCTTTATGCCATGGATTTTATTCAAGTTTTGAAGAAGAAACATGCATCAGGGAGCTATAAAGAGATGGTAAGAAGGTTGCCTTTTTTTCACTTCGTTTGGTATTCACTGATATGACAGGTAACCAATTGAGTTCTTTCTGCGCTGTTTGCAGGTTATATATGTAGAAGCATGTGAGAGTGGGAGCATATTTGAAGGCATAATGCCCAGCGACCTAAACATTTACGTGACTACAGCATCAAATGCACAAGAGAACAGCTTTGGAACTTACTGTCCTGGAATGGACCCCCCACCACCACCCGAATACATCACTTGCTTAGGCGATTTGTACAGTGTTGCTTGGATGGAGGATAGGTATGGAATTTTGGTCTTTCCAAGATGGGAAGTAAGTTTCTAACAACTTTCAAAATAAGAAACTAATTTAGTAGAAATTATTTGGGACAAACGAAACGAGGAATAGAGGAAACACGATTAGAGGCTTCTATGTAACCTTTTATATGTCGTTTCATTGACTTTCCTTTTCCTTGAATTTGCAGTGAGAGACACAATCTGAAGAAAGAAACAATTAAACAACAATATCAGAACGTGAGGTCACAAAACTTGAACTGAATTTTCAACTTATGGAGTTAATATTGAAGCCAAGCTTTTGTGTATAGGATTTTTTATTTGCAAAGTTGTGTTTGTGTAGGTAAAGAAACGGACTTCCAATTCCAACAATTACGATGTGGGATCACATGTGATGCAATATGGGAGCAAAAACATTACAGTAGAAAAGCTGTATTTGTACCAAGGTTTTGATCCTGCCTCTGTGAACTTCCCTCCTAATAATGGACAACTAGAAAAGCCCATGGAAGTTGTCAACCAGAGAGATGCAGAGCTTTTCTTCATGTGGCAAATGGTGAGCTCCATCCCCCAGAAATTATTTTGTTGTATATTTAGATTTAAAGTGCTAAATTAGGTGAGGTTGCTTGATCTTAATGCATTTTTTACTCGTTTGTTTTCAACAGTACAAAAGATCAGAGCATGGGTCTGAAAAAAAGAGAGACATCCTCAAGCAGATTAAAGAAACAATGAGGCACAGGACTCACTTAGATGCAAGCATTGAATTCATAGGAACATTTCTCTATGGACCTGGAAAAGGTTCCTCCACACTTAATTCCGTGAGAGCACTTGGTCTGCCCCTTGTTGACGATTGGGAATGCTTAAAATCTATGGTAATAACTAGAAACTAACCATTTAATTGATTCCGTTATCGCATTCATTACTTAATTGTCATGGTCAAAACTTGAATTGCAGGTTCGAGTGTTCGAAACACAGTGCGGATCGCTGACTCAGTACGGCATGAAACACATGCGCGCATTCGCCAACATCTGCAACAGCGGTGTATCTCAATCCGAAATGGAGGAAGCTTGTTCTGCTGCCTGCAATGGCCATGACCTGGGCCAATTGCATCCTTCAAACAAAGGCTACAGTGCCTAAATGTTGAAAATATGTAAGATCTTAGTAGCAGGATAGAGATGTCACAACCTTAACAGTGTCAAGATGCCTAGCATCTACTCTAGAATCAAACCAGAAATGTCAAAACATTAATATAATAGTTGTATAAAACTCATGTGTATGTATGTTGGTAGGTATAAAAGTTTGGGGATCAAATAATATTTGGTTTGGTGGCTGAGCTTGGAATCAAATTTACTTTGATGCATGAACATAGGGTTGCAGGTATATCAGCAAAAAGGAACAATTCTATGGGTTTATTCCCAATTGGGGAAGAAAATAAACCAAAGCAAGGAGAATCAGAGGTTGAGTTGCCCCAGATTTGTGGCACTATGCCACGTTGCTTTCTCTTTACCTCTCGTTCCAAAGGGTCGGTCCACGCGGTTCTGTGTATTTTCTTTTTTTATAGAGGGATGGGGGACCAAAGGTTCACCATCAGCAAGGCCAGAATCTAATTTAAGATCTCCACCAAGGATTATTATGGGGACCAAAGGAGCTTTACCCAATTTGCATTTTGCCGAAAAGCAAATGCAACTTTGGTGTTCTATGGTAATTCAGCAATTTGGCTCTTGTGGATGGCTCTCTTAATTGGAAGATGATGATGTGTTACCAGGAAAGGTTACAAAGGTTGTGGATTTGCTTGAAATAATCAAGTATTAAGAATAATTATAAGTCCTGGTGTTGGGTACAAAACAAGAAATGCACTTGGGTTTTAGATTAAAGCTCTTCACTTGACGTAATTTTAACTCATTTTTCTCGTGGTTCATTTATTCTCATACTTTAAAAGTGATATATGCTTATATCTCTTCTATCTTTACTTGGGTTCAAATTAATGCACGTTTCAATTACTTGTTTATATTTTTATTAGCCCAATAGACCCCAACGCGGTCGTGTTGCACTTGTTTAACACATTAGTTAAGCTAAAAAGCCTCAAAGTAGTGGCATGTTCAGGAATTTTTCTACGTGCTAGCAAAGAGTTTTGTCCTTGTGAGGACAGATCCGACGACCTCTTTACCTAGATGTGTCGATTCTTTACCTAAATATGTCGATGCGTCGAAATCTTACATGTATTTGCCTAGTTAATTGAGGATCAGTTGACATACACTTATTAGTATCGGACGCAATACAAGTACAGATGCATTAACAAGCTATGTCCCAATAAATTTGTAACGCTCGAAACTCACAATTTTGTCCCAACATTCCTAAAGCCCCTAAAAGTGGTAACGTAAAAGTAAAATTCAACACAAGGTATTAGAAAACCCTTGAAAAAGGGTAGATGACTTCAATATTCACAGTATTTAGTGGGAAACAATATTTAATATTAGGGTAAAATTAACCCTCTACTTCCTTGAAAGAGAAAAAAAGAAAAGGAAAACAAAAATCAAAATCATTGTCATGAATTTGGACCAGTGGCATTTACCGAAATTGCCACCCGCACTAGCGACGGCTTTTCCTTCTCCGCCTTGGGCATTGATCTCCTGCGGCAATCTTCATCTGCACCTTCTCAAACTCTGAAACCTCACATGGTATCACGATCCGACCCGGATGATTGAACCCGTAGACCTTCTCTGCCTCCTTCAACAGGTCCCCGAACAGCGGGTGATTAAAGTACATCACAGGGACTAAATACCTCTGCGTGTCATCACCTGATTCGCCCACGTACACAGCCAGATGCCCTTTCGGTACAGAAACCGGTTTTGCAACTTTGGTTTCAACCGGGGCTTCAGGGATCCGAATATAACCCGAGTTTGCGGAACAGAGCTCCTTTGCTCCACGCTGAAGAAACCGAGCCAAGTTGAAGAATTTGGAAATGGGGTTGTAGTTTTGGGTCGGAGACTCCAGTCTCTGGAACCGGTTCGGGTCTTTTCTGGGTCGGATAATCCATTTGAAGATCCTCACTAGCTTGTGTCTTAGCCTGAAACCTCTGTTCTTTCTCATGCTTAGTTCGGTCTCAACAACAAGAAGGACCCGAAATTAAAGATTTTGGACAAAGGGGTCTGTGTTAAAAACGATTTTCTGAATTGGGTTTGTGTTTAATAAGATGGGTACATGAAAAGTTATAGAAGAACATACAGAGCTTTGTGTGGGTTTTGAGCTGGTTTTATAGTGAAAGGTTTGGGATGGTGGCTATGGAAGTGGTAGAGATTATTGGGTAGGACGATGAGAATATGATTCCTTGGGAATTCAGAGAATCATATGTATATATGAGAGAGGAGAGGTGGTCGGCACACGGTGTATAATTTTGGAGTGTGGGAGATGTGTGAAGAAAATGAATTTAAATATGGGAGAGAGGCAAAGAAAATGGTAGGAGAGAGAGAGAGAGAGAGAGAGAGAGAAGTAAATTGATATAATAACTTATCAAGTACTTGAAAACGTACGGATGCATTTGTATAATGGAGTTGTTTAATGCACTACTTAGTTTGACGAGAAACTAATTCTTAGCTACACCTCATTAGTTTATTAGACTGTAAATTCGGACCACATGATTAAGCATGATTTTGGCTAATCACCCATCTGAATTTACATCTAACGTAATAGACGATTAGAATATTATTCAATAAAGAAAATAAAAACTATTCATTAATTTTTAACTGTTGTTAGAGGGTAACTTGATCATGATTCATGAAGAGAGAAGTAAATTAAAATATTGACACCAAAAGCAAAATATAAAAGAGGAGTCACTATCACTACCAAAAAAAAGAAGAAAGAAAGAAAAAAAAGAGGATTGGGACAAATTTAAAGCTCCTCTTTGAAATGTCCAATGTCCAAGTTGAAGAGTCGCTTGATCGATCGATCTTTTGAAAAAGGGTCGAGGGGTCGCATTTGAAATGTTAATGGAGGGCTCTTCATAATTTTTGTTGACGTATGTATTTTAGTAAGATCTTTTTTGGTTGAAGCTCTGGCTAGGAGTCTCTGTCTCGGACACTGACCTCATATTTTTCTGTAGATTTATTCAAGATTCCTCCACATATACAATTATTTGGTAGAGTCAAAAACCCAAGTAGGTTTTTTTTTTTGGATTAATATTATTTTCTGGTTGGACTATTTTATGATGAAGACCTTGTTCCATGTGCTACAGTTGTTTAAAAACAGTATACGTATGAGCTTTCTTGATTTGCCAAATAGCTCAGGAAATTATGGAATGGAAGCCCCAAAATCAAACCTAATTTTGGTCACTTTTTCTGTTGTTTTTCTTTTGGGTCGTTGAATACGAAAAGTCTGAGACCCCTTTGGATTTTCAACATTGAAATCAACCACACCACACGTATCTTTTCCGGTGGTCCTTCATTTATAATGAAACATGTTTCCCTCATTTTGGCTGCACGTTCGCCTTTTTAGTTCCCCAATTTTTTTCCAGTTACAAAATTAAGACTTGAAAAAACAAATTGTGCATATATGAAGTTGTAGATCATCTCTATAACAGAAATGAAAATCAACACAAACTATTTAGATCATATCGTATATTATATCATGAAAAGGATCCATATAATATTATTTTTATTTTTATCTTATACAGATGGGTTTTACTCGTGTTAGAGATGCGATCCACGATGTAGCCAAATAAATACGATTCAAAATAACTTTATATGGAAAAGTATGATATATGTTTCGGAAATAATATAGCAGTATTTTGCATGAAAGTATAGAGCAAGCTGTTTTTGTGCATGAAAGAACAAAACGGCAATTTGTTAGGCCAAAGACAAGGAATCTGAAAGGTAAGAAGTTGGGGGTTCTGTTTAGGCTTTGCTAGGTTTCTTGGACTGGCCTCAAGATGCCTAATTTTGACTAGTTATTAAATCTAGCTCCGTAAGATTAGTAGAAAATGAAATTAACAAAAAATATTAAATGATATAATAACTCATTGTTACTTGTATAAGTCGATTTGCTTGCTTCTATTGCTAAATTGCACCGTCCTTTTCACTCAACTCCAGCTAAGCAATATTGTACGTAGGGTGTACGAAAGTGTTGACTGCAACATTCTACATATAAACTATTATTTGTCTTTGTAGAGATTCCATCATGCCTACACTTTGGCTCTTCATGAATTCAAAAGACAATCATGTATGACAATCGTAAAACGAGAGTTTTTTTCCCCAGTTATATTACAGGACATTGAACTTTCGACCTATCATAATTCTAACTCATTATCTCACTTTCCCTCAACAGTTAAACTAATCCCAAAGGTTTAAAATTATAGAGCTAATTAAGGTTCTTCGTCTTATGCTTAGTTTAATCATGATGACGACAAATTTGATCAACATTTGTGTCTAAGCATTGTCAGATAACAGATTAACATAAACCAACATGCCGTAGGCATCTTTGATCTTCTGACTCTCTTTTCCACCATGCATGCATGCGTGGTAGAGATCAAAGAGTAGCTCAGCTTCAATTTCGAATATTATTTTTATTTTTTTCTAATATATATATGGTCGAAAACCTGCTGGCGAACATTATCAATCAAAATTTAATTAATTAGGGTTTAAACAATAATCTTTTGGTTAAAACTGTGTGCTCAAATACGACAATTTTTCTTTGTACGTACGTTGTTCTACCCAGCCAGCAACCACTTTTTTGGATTTGTGTTTGATCACAAGTTTGTAAAGAGACAACTTAATTTGATCCGTACTACTTTCCTTTGTTGGAGACAACATATAAAACCATTCTTAATTACAATTAAATAATGTTATTTACAGATCATTGTTTGTTTAATATAGAATCTTTACAGGCTGGTGCTTTTTTTTAATTACTAATATTCTATATGTGTATAATTATATACTATATTAATTCTGAAAATAATAATTAATGATTATTTCTGAGTCATTAGATGAGATATAAGTGATTGATTGAGATTTGCATCAAGTCTTTTTCCCTTAAGGCCTGCTGTCTGAAATGTTGTTTAGGCATGCCCAGCCCAGTTTCATGGAACTTGTGAGAGTGAGAGGCTGGTTGGGCTGGGCGTGAGCAGTTTCATAAAGCTCGGTTTCATGGCATCATATCTAAATTAAGGTTGAAATAATCTGAATAAATAAACTCTTAGATTGGGGTCCTGTCCAGAAGGTTGAGAAGTGCCTCTCAGAAGGGAAACCTGTTTTCTGCCCTCAAAATGTGAACACAATGGAGGGCACATCGCCTACATTGATGCCCTTATCTTGTGGAAGCCCCACAAGGGATTGGTATTTTGGTACCTCATCATCCACCTTAACTGCT